ATTTATTTGACAGAGAGAGACACAGCGAGAGAGGGAACACAAGCAGGGGGAGTGGGAGAGGGAGAAGCAGGCCTCCCGCGGAGCAGAGAGCCCGACGCAGGGCTCGATCCCAGGACCCTGGGATCATGATCTGAGCCGAAGGCAGACGCTTAACCAACTGAGCCACCCAGGCGCCCCTAGATTTTATTTATTTAGAGAGAGAGCAGGAGCCGGAGGAGGGGCAGAGGGAGAGGGAGAAGCAGGCTCCCTGCTGAGCAGGAAGTGACGTGATGCGGGGCTCCATCCCAGGACCCCGAGATCACGACCTGAGCTGAAGGCAGACATTTAACCAACGGAGCCGCCCGGCACCGCTGCGATGTTACTGTTCTAATGCTCTGGCCGGGGGGGTGTGGCTCCGTCCTGGGGCTGCCTTTGCAAATCTGTTGCGATCTCTCCTCGATGGTGCGACACACGCTTGGTTTTTGTGAATGTCCTGTGTGTCTCCTCTGGGCCTCCGGTTCCTGCTGTTGGGGTTGGTGCAGAATCATATACACACACATGCATGAGCAATGTATGTTTATGTATGTGCTATGTCTGTATGCATATGTTACACACAAGTTAATACACATACATATTTCATATTATATATAAATACATTGTACATCACTTATATAATTTATACGTAAATGAATTTACGTATAAATTATACATAATGTAGGTGTATCTCATATAATTAGTACATATATTTACATACGAATACACACATGTACGTATGAAATTGTACACACACACCCCACACGACACACACAGAAGGACCTCAGTCCTATTGATTGTATTATTCAAATTCTGCCCCGTTTTCCTTTTGCTTCGTGATTCCCCGATTTCTGAGAAAGTATCTCAACTATTACTGTGAATTTGCCAATTTCTCCTTGAATTTCTATCAAGTCTGCTTTATATATTTAAAAAGCTATGGTGTTGGGTGGGTAACAGTTCCTGAAGGTGCTAGCTTTTCAGCAGATGATACCTTTGCGTAATCAAACGCTCCTCTTTGCTCCTCACGGGAGCCACGTAGGCGCCTGCGTCCGTGGGTCTTGCTAGAACTCTTCCCACACCTTTCTCTTTGAAAGCCTTTGCCCAGCACAACTTCCCCACGTTGTTAGCTATCAGACATCTGTCTTAGGTGATATAGAAAAATACATGGGAAACAAGACAAACGAGGTGCGTTATTTTTTTAACCCCGTATGAAAATCACGATGTATGCAGGCCATAATTACTGCTGTGCCTTGAGTTCCCTACCATTTTATTTCATAGTAACCATCCTCTGCGGATTATTGTGCGTCCCTTGATCTCATCGCTCCCACTTAATTGCTCTGGGGGTGCACGGTTCTTCCCCCGCCTCTGCCCCACCCGCGGCCACTAGCCCCACGACCGTCCCGCGGCCCCGCAGCCGTGAGCCCTGCTGTCCACGCAGCACTGCTGTGGGCAGCATCTCCTTCCTCCTCCGAGTGAGCGGGGACCGTGCCGCTGGGATCGCCCGCACGTCTCCTCCGCCTGCTCCCAGGGAGACCAGCTAAGCTGGTATTAAGTTTTCTTTGTACAGCACGCCTCAACAGTTACGGGACTTAGCCATACGTTTTAACAGTTTCTTTGCCAGCACAGAGCTTGGTCTGTGTGCCTGCGTGTGCGTGCGCGCGCGTGTGAGTGTGTGTTAAGGACAGAATGTTTGTGCCCCCCACCAAATCCCTATGTCGGAGCCCTAACTCCCAGTGTGGCTGTATTTGGAGGTGGGGCTCTAAGGAAGTAATTAAGGTTAAATGAGGCGAAGGAGCGGAGCCCTGAGGTGACAGGATTAGGATCCTTGTAAGAAGAGACGCCGGAGCGCTCACTCCCTCTCCATGCACACCAAGGATGGGCATGTGATCAGGGGCAGGGAGAGACAGTCAGAAAGAGAGCTCCCGGCAACCGACCCCACTGGCACCTCGATCTCGGACCTCCAGCCTCCAGGACTGGAAAGAAACGTCTGCTGTCTGAGCCGCCCCATCTGGAATTTTGTTACGGAAGCCAAGCTAAGTCAGTGTTTGCTTTTCTGAAATTCATCTTAGAGAAATTCTTTCAGAAAGAATGTGTGAGTAACACATTTTTTTTTTTGAGTCCTTACAATTCCAAAATGTCTTTATTTGGTGCTGCCAGTTGAATGCTAGTTTGGCTAGGTATATGAGTCTAGATAAAAAACCCAGGCCCCCACCTGCGTGGGGGGAGCCATGGAAAGGGCTCGAGATTGAGGAGTCCCAGCCTGGGTGCTGGGGGCCGATGCTGGGGCCCGCGTCCTGGAGAATAAAGTGTAGGGAGAGGGGCAGGAGTGGATCGGAGAGGACGTGGTGAGTTTGGGCCTCAGGGGCCAGCAGGATGTCCACGGGGAGGAACCCGTAGGAAATGGCCACAAGAGACGCCCTCGGGCCACGGGTGGCTTGGCCATGGATTGGAAGAGGTTTCAGTGGCCCAGACATAGCCCCCTGACCACTGTATGTGTCTGAACTTGATGTAGGAAGCACGGAAGACGCTGGGCAGGCTGGTTTGGGCAGCACATTTAATGTTGGGTTTTACAATATTCCCAGGCCTGACGATTCCTGGTGGTTTATGCTGATGGTCTGTGAGCCACTGACAAGGAGCAGGGTGTCGCCCCGCCATCTGTGCCCACCGCCTGCCCCTCCCTGCACTCACAGGGAGGAGGGAGGGAGTGCCATGCCTGCAGAGCCCCCCGAGGCCCCAGGGTAGCCCATAGGCAGATACCCTTGGGTCTCCAGAGAAGGCGTGTGCTTGAGCGGCCCCCACCCCCTGGTGCACGGGCTCAGCCTTGACCGCCCGGGGCAGTGAACTGAGGGGCCTGGTGCCCCACCCCAGAGCAGGTGAGGGTTCGAGTAAGGTCACAGTGAACACCGTCTCCGGGATGTGGGCCCGAGGAGAAGGCCACGGGGGAGCCCCGACTGTCCAGGAAACACCGGCCTTGGGCCAATGCACGTCTGGTCGTGGACGAGCTGCTCACGATGGGACCAGGAGGGAATCTGGCTGAGGGCCGAGGCTGCAGGGGCAAGGATGGCTGGCAGGGTCCCAGGGGCCACGTCAACCCTGAGGAATGGCCAAGTGACCAGAGCCAGATGTCCCCTGCCTTGGCTCTCCCCTTGGGGCGCCCTGATGCCCTCCAATTCACAGGCTCATCTGGTCGGCGACTCGAGGTGGCTATGAGAGGTGGCAGATGCCCACAACACACCACGCGGTGCCCCAGCAGCAGCCTCTGGCCGCCCGAGGTCCAGGGCGGCATGTGGCTCGGGCAGCTGGTGTCAGCCTGTGTGCAGGGCAGCCCAAGCCTCCACGGGGACCGCGGGCGGGCTGGCCTCACCTGCCCCTGGCAACAGGGCCCGGCCGAGTCCACGGGTCAGTAGAAAGCCCCAAACAGAGTGGCCACCTTCTGGAGGATGGTCTTGTGGTGGGCATACAGCGGGATGCGCTTGTCCACGACCTGCCACTGGGCGGACATCCCGGGGTCACAGGAGTGCAGGTGCTGCAAGAGAGCAAACGCAGAGCCTGACTCCCCCCGAGCCGGCTCAGGCACCCCAAAACTTCAGCTGCGGAAGGGCCGCGGGGACACCACAGCCCTGGTCCCTGCTACGGGCCCAGCCTATGGCTGGCTCACTGTGCTCTTCTAGCAAAGGGAAGTGAGAACAGCTACTTCAGACACGACTCAGAGAATCCTGCCCAGCCCTGATAATCCTTCGTGAGAACAGAGCAGGTGGCCTTATTCTCAGGTGTTCGTCCTGCAAACCCAGCCCCAGGTCTGCTCCCTGGGCCTCGGTGGTCCCAGCTCTAGACTGATCTAAGTATGGGGGACGCTATCCCCGTGAAGACACGTGAATCCTGCAACTCTGACTCGGCTCTGGCCTCTCCTGGTGCCTCTTGGAACCCCCTACTCTCTGCAGCCCCCACCCTCTGGTCTTAGCCAGCTCTGGCCGCCTGAGACCCCAGGCAGACCCCTCCCGGAGGCCTGGAGGTCCCCCCAGAGCACGCTCGCCCCATGTCTCCCCCTCCTGGGAGCCTGTGGCCGAAGCCCCATACAGAGTTCAGCCTCTTCAGGTCCATGTCGCTCTGGTCTGGGAAGTGGATGCTGATGGCCACCGTCTCAATCCAGGCGTTGTCCGTGTTCCTTGGGTCGTCCACGTACCCCTTGTACACCTGGGGGGCAGCACGGGGGTGAGCTGGTCCACCCAATGGAGCGCTGAGCCCCGCCCTGGCGACCTTCCAGAGGGAGGGGCACCACGTGTGCCCTTTGCTCCCTCCAGGCCCTGGGACGCCCTGGGCACAGCTGTCTGCTGCCCCAGGCCCCGCCCCCGTCTCCATGCCTGCTGCATCCTGCTCCCCAACACAGCCCCAGCTCCCTCACTCAGCTCCCTCCCGGGTTCTGGCCCGACATCCAGACCCTTGGAAGGACTGAAACAGGATGACGGACCTCAAAAACGTGACGCTAAGTGAAAGAAGCCAGATGCCAAAGGCCGCACACTGTGTGATTCCACTAGCAGCGAGGTCCTGTGGGGGCCGACTGGTGCCTGCAGGGGCACAGGCGGGGGCGCGGGCGGGGGCGAGCGCTGCTGGGTGGGGCGGGCGCTTGGGCTGATGGGAATGTCCTGGACAGGTGGGCTGATGGTCGCACCCACGGCCAGGGCACTCAAGGCCACCGACCTGCTCACTTTGAAACGGTTAATTTTATGGTACGTGGATTTCAATAAATAAACTACTTAATTCTTCTCACAAAGTTGAGAAAAGAGACAGTGGTGTCGCCCCCAGCCCTGCCCGGGACGGCCCTCGTGAAAGGACTGGCTCCGTAGATCAAAACTGAACAGCAGCTCTTGCCTGTTTCGCCCCGAGCGGGGCCAGAAACAGGGCCGGGAACAACTCAGATGTCCGCTGAGGACGCTCGGCAAATCGTGGCGCAGAGCCTCCCCGGGGCCATGGAAAAGGGCAGGTGAATTTGTAAATCAGGGCTTAAAAATATGACCATCACGAATTAAGTGAGAAAGGTTACGGAGAAATGTGTGCCATGTGGCCCATTTCTGTCAAGCGTGTGTGGTGTTCACGCGCAGAGGTCGCGGGCACCGGAGCCCCACGCGGGCGTGCACAGAGGTCAACAGAGAGCCTGGAGCAGGGCTCTCCGGGCAGCCCCGTGGGCGAGAGTGAACATGGGTGTGTGACGGCAAATGCGGACTGCTTTCAGAATGACAAACAGATTCGATGAAGAATACAGGCCTGACCAAGGTGCACGGGCCAGGGCCTGGGGAGCCGGCGGCTGGCGTCCCAGCACCCCTCTCTCCGGGGAGACACAGACCCTGCGGTCCCCGTGTGCCCGGGTGTGCTCAGGGCAAGAATGAGTGTGGGAGGGAGGTACCCAGCCCCTTGATTTAGAGAGAATGGGGACAGAGAGGGAAAGCAGGTGCCCAAGGCCCAGAGCCATGGCCTGCCACCCCTCCTGCTCCCAGCTCCTTCCTCCAGGGGCTGCGGGGTGTGGATTGGCAGCAGGGTCCCCAGTGTCCCATCCTGCTTACCCTGCAGCCCTCACCAGCAGCACGCTGTGGGGGACCAGGACACACAGACAGTACTCTGAAGCAGGAAGGCCCCCTTACCTCAGTGCCCTGCGTCAGCAAGTTCTGGAAAGAATACCAGAACTCTCTGCGGAGGACCTGCTTCAGCTTCCGGGGCAGTATCTCTCCTGGGTCGCGGGAGCCCTAAGCAGAGAGGAGGCAGAGGCAGGTCTGCGAGGCTGTGCAGAGACCCACCTCCACTGGCCGCCTGCCCAGCGCGGGCAGCCGGCCAGCTCCACGGAGCCGCAGGCGGACGAAGGTCTGGCAGCTTGGCTGTCTCGGGACTGCAGTGACGCTGCCCAGAGCCCGCTGCCTGCGTCAGCCCGGGACGGAGTGGGGCTGAGGCAGGCCAAAGGCACAACCTCGGAGGGGTGCACGCGGGCACCGGGGCCTCTCTCTGGCGCCCATAAGGTAACCAGCGCCCTACGCCCCACCTGCCCACCAGCAGGAGGGCATGTTTTCATTGTTTGCATCCCTCAGATGCCATCTCCCACCTCTGCTCCCCCAGGCTGGGCTCCCGGCCACTCCCAATGCCCCCTGTCCTGGGGACCTGGATCCTGAGCCTGCACCACCCGGCCCTTGACCCTCTAGGAGACCCTGTTTGTTATTGAAGTCCCTCCAAGTCCCTATCACAGCCATCCTGCTTTGGCCCTTGAGACACGCCTGCCCCTCGAAAGATGCAGTGCCAGGGACCCGTTCAGGTAGGCCGCTGGGGGGTCTGCAGGCACAGTGCCCGGGGGTCTGCAGGCATGCTGCTCGGAAGATGCCAGTTGGCAGGAACCACATTGGGCCTGGGCCAGTGTCCTGCCCGGAGAGATCAAAGTGCCCAAGAGGGAGGCTGAATCATGTTAGAGAAGCCCCAGGGCGAGAGGGGCCGGCCGTAAGCCAACCCCCCATTCAGCGTGGTGCTCCCTCAGCTGGGGATACAGGAGTCCTGGCTTCAGGGGCCAGAACTGCCCAGCGCCCCGGACTCCTTGTTGCAGCCTGGGGACCTGGCCATCCCCAGCCGAGCAGCCACTGGGCCATGGGCAGGTGCTGAGCTGGGGTAGATCACGGACATCCTGGGAACAGGCTCAGAGGAGAGGCCCCCGAACGGGGCCGCATCCCAGACACTGTGCACCAGCTCAGAGCCTGTCGGGGGGCCTGGTCCTCCTGCCAGGACCCCAGAACAAGGATGGGGGCCGGGGAGGGCAGACTGATCTGGGAGTAAAACCCAAGTGGTTCAGCCCAGGGCCTCCTGCACCCCAATCAGGTTTGTCCCCACAAGGCCTTGGGGTGCACTCCGGCCTTCAGCCCTACAAGCATCTGCCACTCCCTGCCTCCCCACGGCCCTGCACACTGTCCTGTCCTTAGAGCTCAGCTCAGTGCCGCACAGAGGTATGTGCCCGCCCGGGACACCTGCATGAGGAGCCGTGTGTGCCCCCGAGGCCACGAGCTCCACAGGAGGCCCAGCCCGGGCCCTGACACAGCCCCAGCCCTGAGCCTGGTGCTCAGACACAGTGGGTATCAGTCAGACTCTCACACACCAGTCTTCGAACCCGTTTTCACAACTGCCAAAGGAGCAAACAGGAGGGGGTTCCTTCTACAAAGCCCAGTACCAGTTTGTCCTTTAGGACCAGGGACAGAGTCCAGAGCGGGCGGGTGGAGGCGGGGTGACTGCAGGGGGGAGGTGTTGGGCCGGAGGGTGGGATGGACGGACCGGACGGACAGCTCCCACTGGCTCACCCCTGGCAGGGCCCAGGCTTCCGAGAGCGGATGCTTCACGACCAGCACCTCCAGCATTTTCTTTATGCTCTTCCTGCAGATGGCGCCATCCTGGTTCCGCCTCCACCTGCAGAAGGGGCCGCTCATGGGGATCCTCTGACCTGAGCGCTCCCCACCTCCGCCCCCCTGCCCTCCTGGGGCCAACCCTGTCTCCTTCCCCAGCGGCCGCTCCAGGGGAAGAACCGGGTGGTGGCCATTAGGGGATGTCTTTCCACTTCACTACTGCTGGGAGGATGAGAATGGGCCGGCTTCTCAGGCAAATCGTTTTTTATCAAAAGCCTCAAGGAGGCACATGCCCTGAACCCCGCTGATCCACTGCTCGCTCTTTGGAAATGCTGGGTGGGATTACACGTATTTTCATTTTGTCGGTGGTCCTGGGCCTTGGCCATGGCTTTGCCCCTCCTCCCAGAGGCAAGCCAGGGGACGGGGACCCAAAGGGAAGCAAGGGCAGCCCAGGGCGTGGGGACGGGCCTGGGTTTCTCCCAGGGGGTACGGACACTCCCGCCCCATGTCTCGGGTGTGCCCGAGGGTCAGCGGATGGAATGGACATAGAGAGGGCCGTGGGTGACTGGGTGGCCTCATCAGTGGCGTACTCACCGGGTGATCACAGGCTGCAGTGTGTGGTTGGGTCCCAAACAACCAAGGCTTCCCCGCCCGCGCAGTCCTGTGCGGCCCATGGGGTTCCTGGGGTGGACAGGGGTCTGCTTAGATTGCCGCTTGTCTCTGGGAGGACCAGGCCGGGGCAGTGGGCAGGGGCCCCTCAGGGGGAGCGCGCCGGCTCCCCCCGGACCTTCTGCGGCCCAGGATCTTCAGAGCACAGACAGCTCACCGCAGCGGGATGCTGGGAAAGAGCCAGTGTGTGGAGGCGCTGATGGGACCCCAGATCCACCAGCCCGGCCAACTCCACCTCCCCACCTAGGACTGTCCCGCTGGGGACACATGTCCCTGAGGGCCTCCGAGGGATGAGGCAGGAGCTTCAGGTCACCTTGGAGTTGGTTGGAAAAGCAACATCCAGCCCCACTGCTGGAGTGGACACCACGTCCCCCTGAGAGCACGTGCCTAGCTCATTGCGCCACACAACACACGTCCGCACCCGAAGGCCTCATGCACGTGGGTCCCTCTGTGACATGCCAGCCTGCTCTCTCCCTGTGCCACGGCCCCGCGTGGCCTCCTGTCTCGGCAGCGGGGGCCCGTCTCCCACCACCTCCGGACACAGTGGCCCACTCTTGTTCCAGGACATTCCTGAAAGCCCTGCCCCTGCCAGCTCTCTCAAGCCACCCCAGGGCCCGTCCGCTCCACGGGGCTCACGGTATCCCAGCAACTGTTGTCCCTCCCCTAATTCTGATGGCTCCTTCCTCATCCTCCAGCCCCTGGAGCCGCCTCCTCCCCAGCGACCCCGCCCAGAGGAGGCTCCTTCAACTCCAGACCCCCAGGCTGACACACGGAGGTGATCCCCAAGGACTGCCGGGCATGATGTGACCGGTCACTCGACAGCTGGACTCGGACATACAGAGTGCCCGTCCCCGCACAGAACAGACGCTGGAAACACCGTCATCCCCTGACGCGACCCCACGGCCCCTCAGCGGCTCCCCTGCGGCCAGAACCCTCTCGGGAGAAGTCTGCTCTTTCTCAGAAATCCATGGAGATGGCGGGACGGTCACCCCCATTTTACGGGGAAGACTGGAAGTCCCCGAGGTTACTCAGGGCTGAAGGCAAAGCACCCAAGGTCAGTGGGGTGAGCCCCGGGAGGGGCAGAGAGGGAGCCTCATCCAGGTGCCAAGGAAACGTTTTATGTCAATCTGTCCTTTCTTCTGTGTTTTGTTCATTTTTACCAGAAAAATGACTAGTTTGCCAAGACAGGACAGCTGAGCCCAGAAGCAAGCCCCCAAAGGCCCCCCACAGGGTCGGGGTGATGCGGGATGGCGGGCAGCCGCACTCACAGAGGGAGCCCGTCCTGAACCGCGTAGAGCCCATGGAAGCTCCGCCGGTCTATGGGCCCGTCCACGGCGTTGTAGCTGATGCTGGCCAAGGCTTCCAGGGCGCTGGGAGCAAGCGGAGAGTCACGTCCCCGGTAAGAGAGGGCGGTGCCCTGGGCTGGGCAGTCAGAGAGCCCACGACCGCAGGTGCCCACAGCCACGCGCCTCCCAGCTCGTCCCAGCCCTTGAGGAGAGCGGGCAGCCCGTCCAGGCAGGAAGCAGACCCTCACCCTGAGCCGGCGCTGGCGGTCACCTGGGAGCGCCCGGCGGGTCCCTCGCCCACCCTCCTGCCGGGGGCAGGGATGCACACACTCACTTTCCCACGGGGTCCACCAAGCCCTTGTCCTTCCTGTCGTCCGTGTAAAAGGGTGGGTCATAGATGAGAAACTCCGTCTGCACAAACACGGCAGTTCTCCCCTCAGACAGTTACCCCAGACTACGGCTAGGGCACCCAGGATGACCAACGGCGGCTCCTCCTCGTCAAAGTGCTCATAGCCAAGGACCCCGAGACCGTCCCCAAAGTGCACGTGGTAGCTCTGAGCTCAGGCAGGCCTGCGGGGTGCACCCCCCACTGGGGACCCAGCCGAGGGGGCGGCAACGGCACTGCTGGTCTAGGGGAGCCCCCAGGATGGGGCAGGGGTCCAGGCTGGACTGCAGGAGTGAGGAAGACTCCAGCTGGCAGGGACTGGGGAGAAAGAATGGAAGCCACAGCCTGGAAGGTCCTGGAAAGGCCAGAGAGAAAGCCCGTGGGGGCAGGGAGGGCACACAGAGGCCGTCAGCCCTTCCTCTCCCTTCGATGCCTTCCCCTAGCTGGTGCTCACAAGAGGGGCACTGACCACTCCGGGAGGCTGGGGTCCAGGACCAGCGAGGGACAGTCTGCTCCCCGTGTGGGTCAGATCCCAGCTCCACCACCCCCAGCTGTGTGTACCTACGGGACTCCGTCTCCACCTGTGTCCAACACGTCCCTGGGGGGCTGTAGCAGGCAAGTGTGCCTGGGGCCCGGCTGTGTCAGAGGGCTCAGGGCAGGACCGCCGCCCCAGAACCCGGCCGCCTCCGGCCAAGGCTGGCACTCACCTCCCAGGGCACCTTCTCGTTGGGCACGGGGAAACGCGTGACGTGGGAGTTGGGGTAGAGGAGGTGCCGGGCGTTCACGTGGTGGGTGTCGCCCACGTCTTCTGCCTTCTGCCTGCCGTCCAGCTCATGGTCCTGCTCCTCTGAGGTCTTCTGGGGTGCTGGAACAGCCACAAGGAGCCGTGGGCAAAGCCGGACTCCGGCTCAGGCTCCTGCCCACAGGACAGGGGCGTCCTCTATGGCCCTTTCCCCAAAACTGAGCCTCCTCCACCTCCCTGAGTCCAGAGTGAACACCACCAGCCCCAAAGGGGGCCCCAGCCCAGGGCCCCAGGACCATGGCTCTGGGAAGACCGAGATCTGGGGTCAGAGAGTGTGCCCCCAGCCAGCACCTGCCTCCTTGTGTGGCTGCCCCAGAGCCCATCCAGTTAAGGAGGGCCAGCAATGCCCCAGGAGGGCTAGTCACGCCCTCTTCCTGGCTGGCTGCAAACTTAGAAACGCAGACTTTGCTTTCTGTCCCCCAGCACCTTCTGGAGCTGCCCCTCCTTTGTGTCACGATGCACAAGAGGAGGTCAGGGACGTGGGCCAGGCCTCTTCTCAAAGTCCCCCACCTGGTCATGTGGGGGGCTCGGCTGTGCTGGGCCCCTGCTTCTCTGGGACAGGCTATGCTCCCTCTGGGCGCTCGGGGCTCAGGAAGAGCTCAGTCAGCCCACCCCCAGGCCGAGGGGGAGCCCTGCTTACTGCCTCTCCTCCCCATGGACCCCCAGATTCAAAAGAACACAGGCCAGTAGAGACCAGCCGCGGTCGCGGCCTCCACTCACCCAGGGTGGGGAGGCCCTCCTCTGAGCCAAAGCCACCATCCCTCAGCGCCTTCATGATCCAGTGCAATGCTCTGGACATCTGGGCCACCTGGAAGGCACATCCCAAACAAGGTGTGGTCAGCACCTTCCTCTGTACCGCACAGCCACCCCCCCACTGAAACCACGAGGGCACCACTGGGAGCACCCATCCCGCTGCAGTGACCCCACGGGCATCCAAGCCCGCCCTGCTTCCCTTAGTCACCAGCAGTGCCCACCAGAGAGACACAATGGCCACTGGAACTGGACACACCAGAGGCCACTGGACCACGCTGAAGCCCCAGAAGACAGCTCTGAGCCACAGGGAGAAGGTGGGGCACCACGACCCACGGAGCTTCCCACGGCTCCTGCTCCTCCCAGAGAAAAGAAGCTTCTAGAAACCAAACATACTCAACTGCAGGTGATGGCAGGAGCCACGTGACGAATAGGGGCCAGGAGGACGCTGCTCAGCAGCACCCATGTTAGAGGGTGTCAGCAAGGCGAGGCCCCACAGGGGAGGAGGCAGTTAGGGCAGACCCCCGCACGCAGCGGTCCCCGGGCAGGGGCTGGCTGACAGCAGAGCCCCCGCCAGCCCAGTGGCTGGGTGGCTTGCCCCCACCTGACACAGCAGAGCTGAGAAGAGGCAAGACTCCAGTGCCAGCCTGGGGGGCTCAGGCGCTGCCTGCTGGGAGGCTGCTGTGGGTGGCAGGGGCTCTCATAAGAAAGCACAGGTCCTCTGTGCCCCCAGCAAGAGGGGCACAGAAGGGCAGGGACCCAACCTCCACCCTGCCTACCCCTCCTTATCCTGGAGGCTGGAGGCCTCCCTGACTGCCAGCCCCTATCACTGCCTTCATTGCTGTGCTTATTAAACCACACTGTGACAATGGACATTTATGTCTGTGCCCCCCACACTGGAAACCTCTGAAGGGGAGACAATTCCTGTTCACCTTGACATTCCTCAGGCCAGCCCTGGATGTGGCACAGAGGAGGAACACGGGAAACATGAAATGAAGGATGGATGGATGGATGGATGGAAGGAAGGAAGGATGGATGGATGGATGGATGGATGGAAGGAAGGAAGGATGGATGGATGGATGGATGGGGGATGGATGGATGGATGGATGATAGATGGATGGGGGATGGATGGAAGAAAAGATGGATGGAAGGAAGGATGGATGGAAGGAAGGAAGGATAGACAGATGGATGAATGGAAGGAAGGATGGATGGATGGATGGATGGATGGATGGATAGATGGGGGATGGATGGATGGATGGAAGGAAGGATGGAAGGAAGGATGGATGGATGGATGGAAGGAAGGATGTATGTATGGATGGATGGGGGATGGATGGATGGAAGGATGGATGGATGGAAGGAAGGATGGAAGGAAGGATGGATGGAAGGATGGAAGGAAGGATGTATGTATGGATGGATGGGGGATGGATGGATGGACAGATGGATGGATGGATGGAAGGAAGGACAGATGGATGGAAGGATGGACAGAAAGAAGGACAGAGGGGTGGATGGAAGAATGGATGGATGGAAATGGATGGATGGAAAGAAGGATGATGGACAGATGGATGGAAGGATAGATGGATAAATGGATGAATGAATAAATGAATGAATAGATAGATGGGTGGGTGAATGAATGTTCAGGGACCTGAGCCCAGCTAGCCTGCAAAGCTGCTCAGGGCTGCCTGTCTCAGGCCTAGGGCTTGGAGTCCAGTGGATGTGGCCCAACTGGTGGGGGAGCATCAATGTTCATTGATGGGGGATGAGTAGGGCAGGGGCTGTTCACCTAATGCCAACTGCCTATTGACAATGTCCTTTGAGCTCCCTCTTACAAAAGAACAAGCTCCCTGCGTGCAGAAGCATCCAAACCTTGACCCCACATTCCAACCATCGGGGGCTGGTCTGAGATATCCACACGCTGCTTTCTGACGTTGCTCCCGACATTCAAACTCATCTTGCATCCCCTGGGACCCTCCCTCCCAGGATCCCCAGGCAGCCTGGGAAAGCAGGCCAGGGCGTCTGTAATTCCCACAGCGTCTGGATGTGGAGTCCTGCAGAGGGGTCATCTCAGAGGACAGCTCTGAGGAGACCAGAGAAGGGGACCAGAGCAGCTCTCTCAGACCAGCCCCTGGTATAGACACCTCCCAGTGCACTGGGGTCGAGCTCAGTGGGGAAGTATTTGACAGAATTTTCTGGAAGACAAAGAAGGCGCTTCTTCCGGTTGGGAACGGTTGTCCCAACATTCCCCAAGTCCTTCTCAGGGTCATTTCCCCAGCATGCTCCTTCTCAAAGAGCGGTGCCCAGGCCTGTCAGAGGCATGACCCAGAAAAGGAGGCCCAGGCCCGGCGCCTACCTGCTCCTCCAGGGAGGACAGTCTCTGCTCCGTGGAGCCTGACCGCTTCAGACTTTCCATCTCCAGCAGGTCCACCGCGGTGTTGACCCTGGAAGAGCACACAGCTGAGCCCAGGCCAGGCTCGGGGGCCCGGATGCTGAGGAAACATGGCGCTAGGCTGCAGGGGGAGGTCCCTGCCAGATCCAGCAGCCTGGCCCCTCCTGCCCTTAACTTCAGGCCTCTTCCCCTCTATCTGAAAGTATTTATGACATACATTTCTGTGCAGAATGAGCACTGCCTCCTGCCTCGAAGGGGAAGATCTGGTAGCAAGTGCATTGCCCCCCACCTCACACAGCCATTCTGACTCCTCCCCACGGGAGAGACGAGAGACGCAAGTATGCGAGACGCTCCTCGCCTTGATGGGCCCACAGGCTTCCAGAAGGTGAAGCACAAAGCTCCGAGCTGCTTCTGGGCAGCACTGGGCGGGGGGGGGGCAGCACTGCTGTTCAGTTTGGTCCTATTTTGCTACAACATGGGAGTTTCAGCAGCTTTAGTCTGCCCCGTTTACAGTAAATAATTCCAAACATCGTCCAGACTCTCCCGTCTGGCTGTGTGTAGGGCGCCCAGTCCCACCTGCAGGGGACGCTCTCCTGTAAGAGACTTAGCCCCCACTTCAGTGGCCAGTGGGCGCTGAGCTGAGCCCGTGGCCCACTTTGAATGGTTCTCTAGGGAAAGGGGAGGGAAGCGCCTCACTGAGGGCCCAGGCGTTTATTCTTCCTCTCACTACGCGTTCCCTAACCCCACAAAAGCCACAAAACCACTTCCTGCCACATCCCCCATCCGGCCCGTGAATATGCTGCGTGGGTACCGACAGAGTGTCTTTGGACCCCTCTGACTCCCATCACCACGACAAGCTTGTCAGAGACCCCACCTCATCAACAGACCCCTTCCCCACTTTGTGGCTCAGCCACAGGGCTGTGGGGCCGTGGCGCGCCACGTGGCCTCCCGGGGCCTCAGATCCCTCCCCAGACCCGGGGGGGGAAGGTGGCCGGTGCAGGGCAGCATCGTCCCCTGTGCCCCAGCCAGGACGTGCTCCTGCCTTACACGTGCGCTCCCTCCCGTGTGCTCCGGAAACCATGCCAGGCGATGGCTGTCATCACAGCTCCGTTCACCGAGGAGCCCAGAGACACACAGCAAGGCAGGTGCACGGCTCTGAGGAGAGGTGCGCTCGGGCTCGGCCTGGCTGCAGGGAGCCCACCCCCTGGATGCTCAAGGCCCCAGGACGTCCTTCTCCACACACGGCCCACAGGACTGCACCAGGGACAGGACATAGTTACAGAGCACGTGTCCCCTGCCTCCTCCTGGCCCACGGCAAGGCATACCCTGACCGCAGGACCAACTCCTTCCACCCATCAGGGCCGGGGGTGAGCAGCCCCGACCTTACACCAGAAAGAAGGCGGGAGGGAGGAACTGGGGGCAGTGGGACAATGCTCAGTGAGCCTGAGCTCCAGGCCCGGCCACCACGGCCCCACAGAACCTGCAGCAAGGCTGTGTGCCAATAAGCTCACTGAGCTCACCCCCCAGGCCAAGTGGGCCTCCCCTGCCAGCACCCCTCCTTTAGCCCTGTCTGCAGGGGTCAGCCCTGTCTGCAGCCCAGGTGACCTTCTCCCACCCCGTGGGGTCCAGTCCTCCTAAGGACCCAGAGGGAAGGCCATGGGTCAGCTGGAGGACACAGGTTTCCCACCCCAGGGGCCTGGCCCAGGTGGGCTATGGCCCCATGTGACTTGGACCTGCAGGGGTTTCCCCGCCCCCGGGCTGCCCCGGCCTCCCGTACTTATCGCCGATGTCTTGTATCTGCTGCTCGGGCCTCTGCTTCCGCTGGTACTGCTGGTTCTGCAGGTAGTTCTCCTTCAGGTAGATCTCCCAGGACAGAAGGGCGGCCTCCTCGTTCTTCTCCAGCTTGCTCTCTGCAGGGGCGGGTGGGGGCAGATGGAGGGACCGGATCACTGGGGCGGGGGGGGGGGGACTGGGAGGGCCCGCGGCGGGGAGGAAGGGCTGGGGAGCCCACCCAAAGGGCTGGGGGGAGGTCGGAGGCCCATGGAGCTTCCAGGATTCTGGAAGGAGCAACCACGCTCCCTACAGGCCCCTGACTGCACCCAGGACCCGAGACAGTCTGGGGACCGCGGAGGGAGGGCCGGCTCACTGAGCTGCTTGTGCCTCTTGGCGGGGATCTTCAGGACGACCCTCCTGATGAACAGGTGCAGGTGGCTGAGCAGGATGAAGGGGGGCGGCGCGGGGGGCCTGCTGTGGTACTCCTCTATTAGGTCGTGGCGCTGGAACTTCCAGATCTGGTCCGTGTGCTCCTGGACCTGCTGGAACGTGTAGCTGGCAGGAGGCAAGGGGCGCGGGTCACGGAAGGGCTGGCGGGACCCCCAGAATCGCCCACAGCACCCCCTGGGGGGCCTGGGGGCGGCCCGTGAAAAGCAAACACACAGCACCCCAGTGGACAATTCCTGACGCAGACAAAGACCAGCCTCAGGGTCCTGAGCTCCTGGGAGCCATGGTGAGAATGAAGATCCCTGGATTTCAGATGTTATAAAACTTGTTAGCGGACAAAACAAGGCAGAGGACTGTTGGAAGGTGGACAGGGTCCTGGCATTTGACAATATCTAAACAGAGATTATCTGTGAATTTGACACACAGAAGGGACAGGATCTTCAAGGGCGGATGCGGCTCATCTCCGCACACTTGTCGTCTAGCCGATGGGCCTTGGCGGGCTGCCCCCCAATGCCAGACGTAGAGAGGCCCCCGAGGGGCGAGAGAGAAAGACACCCATCCAGACCAGGAACACAAGGGACCCTGCACGGCTGACCCACTCGGCTCCTGTTGGGGCTTTGTACACGGAGGACGAATACAGGTCATCCCATATCGGAAGAGCCGCTTCCTTAAATGCTGGGACACACTCTTCCACATGCAGAGATGACCTCAGCCAGGTCCCCTTGCCGCACAGCCCAGCTCCCTTGTTCGCAAAATGAAAGGTCTGCGCAGGGGGCGCCCAGGTGCCTCAGTGGGCGAAGCGTCTGCCTCTGGCTCAGGTCATGATCCCGGGGTCCTGGGAGCCTGCTTTTCCCTCTGCCTGCCCCTCGCCCTGCTTGAGCTCTCTCTCTCTCTCAAATAAATAAATAAAATCTTTAAAAAAAAAAAAAATAAATGAAAGCTCTGCCCAGAAAGCTTTCACCCTCTGGATCTTACTTGTTTCCACAAACAATCTGTGACGTAGTGTTTTCTCCACCAGGACAGAAGCTGAGCAAAGCTCGGGTATTTCTGAGAGCCCTGGGTGAGACTCCAAGCTGTGCCCCGGGCCCCCAGGAGGCTCACTTCCCCGTGAGTCCCCCGGCCCGCGGGCAGCCTCCGCACAGCAGGGACCAGGGAGGGAGGCCATGCGCCGGGCGGAGCAAGGCAGCTCGCAGCGCGGGCGTCTGGGGCCCCAGGCTCACTCCGTCCCCGCTGGCTGGGCCCCGCGCCAGCAGCACTCACTTGAACATGGCAATGAGGAGGTTCAGCAGCAGGATGTTGGTGAAAAGCAGGTAAAGGCAGAGCAGGATGACGGTCAGCCACTCGGGGAAGGCAGGCTCGTGCCGGATGGCGTCGCTCTCGGGGCACTTGGGCTTGTAGGGGTCTGTGCCATTGGGGCTGCACTGGTCCAGGCTGAAATTCACACCTGGGGGGCAGGGAACAAAGACACCACACAGAGTCACAAGTGTCCCTTGGGCAGTGAGCACCCCGGGGCCTGGACGCCCCCACAGCTGGCTGCCCTCAGCTCTGTCAGACAGAGAGAGGCGTCCTCTGTGGGCAGGAGGAGGGAAGGACCCCTCCAGGACACGTCCTGGGCCCCGGGCAAGAGCCAGCCCCGGGGGGTGATGCCCAGTGCCGTGGGAGAGAATTCAAACCGAGAAACGAACAACTTGCACAACGAGGAAGGAGGCAAGGGAGGGAACCGTGTGGCATGGGCCACGTGCTGACCCACACAACGGGGCGGGGGTACAAACCGAAGTGCAGTCCCACATTTGTAGCAAAGTGGAGGGTACAGAAGATAATAAAGCATAAATAGACGTCCAGCTGTGTGTCAAAACACTCCCAAGGAGGCACAGCCTTTGGCAGCTGTTAACGGCAGCTAACCCGGGAAGTGGGGTCACAGACAGCATTATTCTTTATACCCACTCTGGATTTAACAGTTTTTCAACAATGAGCATGCACTATTTTCTTAAAAACTGGAAGTCTGTACCTCCCACCGCCCTGCGCCCATTTTGCCAATCTCCCTGCCCAACGAGCATGCACTGGTAAGGAGAAGAAAGAGCCCAAATCAATAACATAACCTTCCACTTTAGTAAACTAAAAAAGGGAAAGCAAACTGAACCCAAAAAGGAAGGAAGTAAGAAAGATCAAAATGCAAATAAATAACAGAGAGAATACAAAAAACAATAATCAATAAAAACCAAAATCTGTTTCCTGGAAAAGATTAAGAAGATCACAACCCTTTACCTAGACTTATCAAGGGGAAAAAAGGTTCAAATTGCTCAAGTTATAAACGAAAGAGAGAACATTACTACCAACCCTAAAAAATAAAAAGAACTATAAGGAAATACTACAGAACTGTGTGCTAACAAAGTAGATGACTTGGAAAAATGGGCAAACTCCTAGAAAGAGACAAAACACCAGAAGTGACTGAAGAAGAAATGGGAAATACAAACAGACCTATAACAGGCAAAAAGATTGAAGTAATAATTTAAAACTTCACACAAAGAAGAGTTCAGGCCCAGATGGCTTCACTGGTGAATTCTACTGAATGTTTGAAGAATTAAAACCAATCCTTCACAAACTTTTCCAAAATACAAAGCAGGAGGGAACACTGCTAACTCGTTCTATGAGGCTAGTATCACCCTGATACCAAAACCAGACAAAAACAAAACTACAGACCAATGCCCTTTATGAACATAGACGCAAAAACCCTCCCCAAAATGCCAGCAAATTGAATCCAGCAACACATAGAAAGAATTACACACCATGACCGAGTGAGATATATCCCAGGAAGGCAGAGTTGGTTTTACATCTGGAAATCAATTAATATAACACACCATATTAATAGCATGAAGACCAAAAGTCATGTGAACATTTCAACAGATGCAGGAAAAGTGTTTGACAAAATCATATATGCTTTTATAATAAAAGCACTCAAGAAACTAGGGATAGAAAGGTGCTTCTTCACTCTCATGAAGGACGTTTACAAAAAACCCCACAGTGAACATCATACTTACTAATGAAAGACTGAAAGCTTCACCCTCTAAGATCAGGAACAACATAAAAATGTTTGTTCTGGACACTTCTATTCAATGTTGTACCAGGAGTTCTAGCCAGTATAATGAAACAAGAAAAAGAAATAAATGTATCAGATGGGAAAGGAACAAGTAAAAGCATCTCTATTTGCAGAGGGCATGATCTTGTATATAGTAAATCCCGAGGAACCCACTAAAAAACTATGAGAGCTATAAAGACGTTCAGCATGGTTTCGGGATACAAGATCAACACACAAATATAGCATATTTCTACACACTAGCAATAAACAATCCAAAAATGAAATTAATAAAATAATTCTATTTACAATAACATGAAAAAGAATAAAAATCTTAAGAATAAACTTAAAAGGAGTGTAACTTACACACTGAAAATTATAAAATATTGTTGAAAGAAATTAAAGATCTAAATAAGCAGAAAGGCATCCCATGCTCAGAGTCAAAATCCTAGATGCCTTTTGGAGAAAGTGAGAAGCTGAATCCAAAATTCATGTGGACCCAAGGAACCCAGAGGCCAAAGCAATCTTGAAAAAGAAGAACAAAGTTGAAGGACTCACACATCTCTGATTGCGAAACTTACTACGAAGTTACATTTGCCAAGACCATGTGGTGTTGGCACAAGAACAGACATACAGATCAACAGAATAGGGTTGAGAGTCTATAGATAAACCCTTCCATTAATGGTCAGTTGATTTTTGACAAGGAGGCCAAGACAATTCAATAGGGAGAAATCGTCTTTTCAATACATGGTGCTTGAACAACTGGAAATTTGCATGCAAAAGAATGGCCCTTACCTCACACCGTATAAAAAATTAGTTTAAATAGCTCAAAGGCCAAAAGCAAGAACAAAAGCTATTACTTCAGGAATAACAACACAGACATGAGTCTTCATGACCTTGGGTCAGGCATCAGGTTCTGAGATATGACACCAAAAGCACAAATGATAAAAGCAACCGATAAGGTGGACTTCATCAAAGCTAAAAACTTTTGTGCTTTGAAGGACACGATCAAGAAAGTGACAAGCTGACCCACAGAAGAATATATTGGTAAATCATACAGATGAGAAGGAATTGGTGTCCATACGTAGAGAATTCTCGTAACTCAGTAAGAAAGAAAAATAATCCACTTGAGAAATGGGCCAATGAGAGGAGTAGACATTTCTCCAGAGAAGACATCTGAATGGCTCAGGGAGCACATGAAGAGATGCTCCACATCATTCACCATCAGGGAAATGCAAGTCAGAGCCACAATGAAATGCACTTCACACCCACTGGGACGGCTAGAAGCAAACAAAGACAATGACAAGCCAGAGAGAATGTGGAAATTGGGGCCCTCATATACGTTGCTGGTGGGGACATAAAATACAGGACAGCTGCCATAGAAAATAGTTTGGCCGGTTCTCAAAAAGTTAAACACAGACTTAGCATACAAACCAACAGGTATACGTTACAGTTCCAGATATATATCCAAGAGAGGTGAAAACATATGTCCACACAAAAACTTATTTAAAAACATAAATAACTGTTCATAGCAATGTTATTCATAACAGCCAAAAAGTAGAAACAACGCATGTTCACCAACTTATAAATGCATAAACTAAATGTGATCTATCCATACGATGGAATATTATTTAGTAATAAAAAAAGGGAATTAAATACTGATGCAGGCTACAATATGGATGAGTCTTGAAAACGTTACACTAAGAAAAAACAAGATACAAAGATTACATATTACATTATCTGATTTATATGAAATGTCCAGCAAAGACAAATTGAACAGACAGAAAGTAGATTAGAGGTCACCAATGGTTGGGGGGATGGGGAGTGACTGCTAATGGGTGTCTTTGGTGGGTGATGCAAATGTTCTAAAATTAGATCCTCTAAATACACTAAAAACCACTAAACCACTGAGCTTCACGGTATGTGAATTATATCTTGATGAAGCTGTTGAAAAGAAAAAACTCCATATACAAAAAGGATTCTCCCCGTCCAGAGGAGGAGGAGGGATAGGGAGGCATGCAGTGTGGGGGAGGGGTGCCAACTGATGCCCCAGAGCCCCAGGCCACATCCTTGGCCCGCCTGGGATCTCAGTACGGCTTGGCTTCGGCTTCGAAGATCCCAACCCCCTCAACCGAACATCACACGCACCTGTCTCTCTGTCATGCAGGCACTTGGGGAGCTGCCACCCTTGTCCCCCTGTCCCCATCCTTCTGCGAGCTTTGCAGGTGCCCCTGCTGGAGCTGTAACACCCCATGTCCTACCGTCAATGTAAGCTGGCATCTGCCCGAAGATGGTGAGGTACGACTGGTAGATGACCCCCCGAAAGATCCAGTCCACCCGGCTCTCGTTGTGGATGAGGATGGCCTGCTTGGCCACCCCAAAAGACACCACCCACACCGCCAACAGGAAGAGGAAAAAGAAGACGTCCTTCATCTGCAGAGACGGAGGGCCCCAGCTGCAGCCACGTGCACCCACACGTGCCCCCTCCCCCCACACCCAGGTTGTGCGCTCTGCAGTGGTGGGAGGAGCCGCTGATGCCCAGGGCAGGAACACAGGGGCCCACAGACCTGGGCCTGTCCCCATATCCTAACAGGGTGCTGGGCACCACACAATGCATACGAGGGGCTGGATGCGACTGTGACCCACGGAGAGGAGTGACCGGAGCTGTAACAGCAATAAGGAACGAGCTGTGGAGATTAGGGAAGGCTGCCTGGAAGAGGTGACATACAGGCAAGGACCTGAGACAGGCATGCTGGGGTTGGGAGCCCGAGGGCAAAGCAGGGACATGGGAACCTAGTAGTGTGCTCAAGCCCTGGGGCACCTCACTTGCAGCTGGTGCAGGACCCGCTCATCCCCTTACCATCCGCTTCACGATGATTATCTTGGGCCCCAGCGTCTTACTGATGGTAAAAATGTGCATCAGGCGGAGGCAGAACATGATGAAGTCCAGAGAGAGGATGATGCGCCCAGAGTACAGCAGCCCGGGGATGAGCCTGCCCGAGGCAGAATCAAGGACCCCTCAGCTCACCGCTCCCGGAGCCTGCCCCCAGCTGCCTGCTCACCTGCCCGAGCCCACGTGTGGCTCTGGAGGCCTCTGGACCCCAAAGTACTAAAAATGGGGTACGAGCTCATGGACCAGAGCTTCCGGGGAGGTGTGTTTTCCAGAAAAGTCTGGGAGCCAGCCTTGGGCAGGGTAGGCAGGCCGTGCAGTCCTCTTGGGAGGCAGCGTGGCTGGTCCCTCTTGCTCCTTGGAGAAAGGGACCATGGCAAGGGCGCATGTGGCCCCAGTGGGCAGCAGAGTGGCCGGGGCCACAGCAGGAGGTGCTGGGAGGGGCCACTGGGCTGCAGATGCTCAGCCACCTGAGGGGCAGGGAGCTCTGGCACCTTCCTGCTCTACTCCTCCAGCAGTCCCGGGGTAGGTTCTGCCCACCAGACAGACAACAGGCAGGTCTGGGGCACCTGAGCCCTCGGGGCTGCCGTCGCAGATGGCGGGGAGGTGCAGGGCAGACAGGCCACTCACCTGCAGGTCAGTCCTGCTACGAAGAGCAGGATGGCAGCGATGTCCAGCTTATTCCAGAAGTCACTGAAGTATAGGAGTGCCATCTTCGTCAGCCCGAACTCGTCGGGGTCATAGAACAGCTGAGAGAGGACATGGTTAGGGGCCTGGCTGTCGCCACCATCGTCACCTGGGCAGTGAGAACACTCGCTCCTCCCCGGAGAGGGAGGCCAGCCAGGCAGGGCCCAGACTTCCACCGTCCCTGGGCCCCCCGGTGGAGCAGCAGCGGGAGACGAGCTCCAGGCAGTGGTGTAGCCAGGCCGCCTGAGCCCGCCCTGCTCGGTTCGCAAATGGCTGTGTTCTTGGCGCCGACTGTCCTCTCTGTCAGCAGCCCGCCAGCTCCCACCGGGCCCCTGTTCCCCTGCTTCCACGGCAGCCCCAAGAGGGGTGGGGACCGTGGCAGCCCTGGACCCCGGCAGCTGGGCGGGTCCCTTCTGGAGACGGTCAGACTCAGGGAGGAGGGTACACGTGACCCCCATTCTGGGGCTGCCACCTTTGAGGCCAGGGCTTCGTCCCCGGGAGAGGGTCTGGCTTCGGGAGGCGGCACAGCCAGAGGAAAGCTGGGAGAGGCCAGGGGGACAGCGTTGCCTCCCGCACCAGCCTCCCAGGAGTTCTGAGGCCGCCCCGGGCCCCGGCAGCAGCGCCTGGGCGCCTGTGGGCCCACCCACGGAAGTGACCGGCTGCGGGCCCCGGGGCCAGGTGCTCCCAGATGGGGGCGGGGACCAGAGGACAATCCACGCGGGCTGGGGATGTGGGGGGGGGGGGGGGCGCACCTGCCGCAGCTCCTCACACACCAGGGAGAAGAGCCAGAAGTAGATGAGGTACTCGCACCATGAGGGTGTGGGCTGGAAGTCCACCATGAGCACGTAGGCGAAGAGGCACAGGAAGGCAAAGTAGGACAGGATGTTGAGGTGGAAGATGACCACGGGCGCGTTGAAGAAGGCGCGGACCCGGAGCAGGCCCCTCCTGGCCTGCAGCTTCCTCTCCCTGCAAGGCAGACACCAGGGGGAGGGGGGGATGGCAAGACTGCGAGGGGCCTGAGAGCCCGAAGGACCTCTGCCTCCCCCAAGGAGTGGGGCCAAAGTGCTCATGTGCTCACATCACATGACAGAGACAGAAGCACTAGGACAGACGCTGTCCATGCAGCCCACGGACCCTGCGTAGGCAGCCACGTAGAGGGCTCCACCAGACGGCTCCACGTAAGGGAGGACCCTGAAAGAGCCCTTTGGCTCTGGTTTTGTTAGGACTGAAACGAAATGCTTGGCTAGCGGGTGCTCAGCGCAGGGCAGGTGCTCA